ACACGATGTCGTCACTGCCTTTCGTATTAAAAGTTTTTAACTGCGGGTTTCTCACGACGAGTTACGGCTGCGCTGGTCAAACATTGTAAATGTTGTTATGCTCAGTCTTGTGCAGCGTTGTGAGGTCTTGCAACGTGCAGGTGCTCAGAGTGTGTGTTCAGGATGACTCTCAGCTACTCTCTCACCAAGTTTCAGATCAATACTTTGGCTGAGTTAGTCTTTTGGACGTAGGCTAATGATGATTAAAATTCACAAAGGTAATCAGTTATAGAGGTCCACTCATTGTTTTCTGAATGTTTCTTAAAAACTGTAGTGGCTCGAGCTATTTTGCTAACAGACAGCGTTGACAGTGACAGTTATTGCCAACATTTAAAGCAAAAGTATTGATGATACTTGGCTACTACCAATATTAGGTCAATATTTGTACATTTTTAAAGTTACAGCCATGTCTGTGTTTGAAACGTTAGTTTTTTTATCTGTGGTGGCCATCTTGGTTGGAGTTCATTTTAAATCCTAATCCGTTGTATGTGTACATCAGATTATTACTTTAAAGAGTTTAATTTAGATCTGTCCATTGATCCTTGAAATATTTTGATAAAAATCAAAAATCATTCCAGCCGCTTCACGTTTGGTGGTGGGCGATAATAAGAAGTGATTTTAACATTTTGTCTGCTTCCAGATTCTGCAGCAGGCGAAGAACCTGATCTTCAACATCAGGACCCCCGCTGTGAGCGGTCACGAGAGGCGGGTCAGAGACTTCAGCAGGTACATGGAGTCCGAGATGCTGCGAATCCCGGAGGCTTTGTGGGACGAGTGTAGTTTCACAATAATGGACGTGATCCGAGGATTCAAGTCCGCCCAGCACCAGGGTCACCTGTCCCAGCAGCACGCGAACCAGCAGGTACAACACAAAGCACTTCCTTTATTCAACATGTACAGAAGTCCCTCGCTACTTCGTGCTTCGTTTATCGCGGGTTTTTCAAAATAAGACGACATGACACACGATTGGCTGGTTGATGGACGAGCCATATGATCGGCATGAAGTTTTTATTTAAAATAAATTGTTTTAAATTATTTAGCACCTCCTGCAGCTCTGTGCAGCCCTTACTGCTGCAGCTGATCACATGTTCAGCGTGCAGAGAAGTGGGCGTGGCCAAGAGCGCTTGCAGGTGTCACAGAGCAGAGGTGGCAGGGAGCTGAAATCATGACGCGCTGTTTTAGAGTTTAGAAACATTGTTTAGAATATT